TACTTCTGGTTCATGTATATTCCCTTCTTTTTGATCCTTATTCATTCCGTCCTCGCCTCTTCTTTGACAACTGTCAGGACCCGTTCTCTTCTCTATACTGTCTCGTGGGTGTTTCTCCCGTGCCTTCCTCTCTCAATTAATTATATTGATTGAGAATGCCACTTGTCGCTATATCACTGTTTCACGCGTCATGCTTCGTCAGCATACTAACATTCCACGTGTAATGCCTTTTTTCCACCAATACAATGACGCTGCATATCCTGAGGGTGAAGGCGACGATGGCGAGGGTATTGAAGGTCAAGAGGGCGACGTTGTTGAGGGCCAAGTCGGCGAGGATGTCGCAGGCCGTGATGGTGGTGGCCAGTAGTTTTCTTTTTTAACTCTTTGTATATTTTTGTGTGTAGCTAGTGGCGTCTTCATGAGCCTTTGTAACAATATTCTAAGTATGAAATGCCAACTTCGTTATTTGCATCTGATTATCTTCTTGTGGTTTCGTATTTGTATACTTTTTAATTCTGTCGCTTGGTTGCCTTGATTTTCTAGCCATAATTACTCAGTTCGAACAAGGTCGAACATATCCCGAGTTAAATTATGGACGAGGACTAGTAGGCGTTAGTTCGAACGAGGTCGAATCAGAACCTAAGTTTGACTATGGCCGAGGGCCAGTAAGTGTTAATTCGAACGAGGTCTAAAATAACCTAAGTTTGATTATGGACGAGGGCTAGTAGGTGTTAGTTCGAACAAGGTTGAACATAAACTACGTTTAACTATGGCCGAAGGTCGGCAGGTGTTAATTCGAACGAGGTCGAACATTACCTGCGTTTAATTATGGACGAGGACCTGTAACTGTAAATTCAAATGAGATCGAACATTACTTGCGTTTAATTATGGCCGGGGCCCGGTGGTGTTCATTTGAACGAGGTCGAATCATAACCTAAGTTTGATTATGGCTGAGGGACAGTAGGTGTTAGTTCGAACAAGGTTGAACGTAACCTACATTTAACTATGGCCGAGGGTTGGTAGGTACTAATTTGAAAGAGGTCGAATCATAACCTATGTTTGATTATGGACGAGGGCCAGTAGGTGTTAGTTCGAACAAGGTTGAACGTAACCTACGCTTAAATATAGCCGAGGGCCGGTAGGTGTTAATTCGAACGAGGTCGAATCATAACCTAAGTTTGATTATGTCCGAGGGCCAGTAAGTGTTAGTTCGAACAAGGTCGAACATAACCTACGTTTACAAAGATATGCCTCTAGGTGCGGAGTTTGTTGACATCGTAAATTTTAAGCATTGTTCCCTTGGTTGTTGGAGAAATAGAAATAAACTGTATGCATTGCTGCTTTGTTCATACACTTGAAGAAATTCACAAATTTTCAGGCATGGGCTGGCGTTCCAGTCCCAGTCTTTATCTATCTAGTCCCTTTATTGGTCGACCTGGAGAGTGCTTGAGAGGTTGAGCAATGAACTAGCCATCCCGTGCCTCTGTCTTTGCGTACTTCGACTTGAAGTGTTCCCTTCGTCACATCGTTAAAAACCTCCTTGAGAAAACCCAATTGGGACAAAACTCAAGTGAGGGAAAAAAGAGTACGACTTGGAGGACGTTTTATCTCTTAAAAGTTGAAGTACATGAGGTGGGTAATATTCCAGTTGTTTGGTAGTAGCTTTCCTTCCATTGTTTCTAGTTGGAATGACCCTTTGTTCGGTGTTGCCGTGATTTTGTACGGGTCGTCCCAATTTGTTCATAGTTTTCCCTCCCGTGGGTCTTTGCTTGCTTGTGTTTTAGCTTTAAGCACATAGTCCCCGACTTTGAGTTGCCCATCCTTTGCCTTTTTGTTATAATAGCATTCTACTTGTTATTTTTGGGCGATCATCCTTATTTAGGCCATGTCTCTTCGTTCTTCGACTTCGTCGAGCTTCTGCCTTCTGATTTCATCATTCCTTGGTCCGCTCTCGTGGGAGTATCATAGGCTAGGCTCCCTGACCTAGACCGATATTACTACATCAGTCCCATAGATTAAAGACGAGGGCGTCTCTCCCGTGCTTGTCTTCGGCATTGTTTGGTAGGCCCACAGTACTTCTGGTAATATTTCTGGCCACAACCCTTTTTTGCGTCTTCAAGTTTTTTCTTCATTATGTTCAGTATCGACTTATTGGAGGATTCCACTTTTCCGTTGCCCACGTGATGGTATGGCTTCGAGAGTATTCTTTTGATATGCCACTTCTCAAAAAATTCAGCGACCTTCTTTCCTGTAAATTGGAGTCCGTTATCGCAGTTGATCTCTTTGGGGAGGCCGAACCGACATATGATGTTTTTCCATATAAAGACGATCACTTCCTGTTCACGTATTTGGGCGAATGCTCCTGCTTCTACCCACATAGAGAAATAATCAATTAAAACCAAAAGGAATCGTATGTTACCTCGCCCTGCCGGGAGGGGGCCCACGATGTCCATTCCCCATTTGATGAACGACCAAGATAAGGTGACCGATTGGAAGTATTCACCCGCTCGATGAATCATTGGGTCGTACTTTTGTCATTATTCACATTTTTTCATGAAGTCTGCGACCTCCTTTTTAATGGTGGGCCAGTAATACCCTGCCCGTATGAGGCATCTGACCAAAGACCGATTGCTGGAATGAGCTCCACAATGGACCTCGTGGACCTCTTCAAGGACGCGTCGCGTCTGGTTTAGGCCCAAGCATTTTGCTAGAGGTCCATCGTATGTTCTCTTATACAGGTCGTTGTGTATGATACTATACTTGGCCGTTTGCGTTCTCAGTTTCTTGGCCTCTTTTTTATCATCTGGGAGTACGCCGTCCTGCAAGTACGTAATAATACGATTGCACCAGTCCCAAGTTAAATTTATGGTTCTTACCTCGATTTGGTTTAGCGATGAGTTGAGAAGGTGGACCAAACTTTGGTCTCCGGTTGTAATTTTTTTGGTGGCTGCGGCTAGTTTGCGAGGCCATCCGCCTCGGCGTTCTGTGCTCATGGAATCTGGTCGAGTTGATATTCGTCGAACTCGGGCAGCAGCTTGCAAATTTTGGTCTGATATTTTTCTTACCTTTGTTCCTTGATTTGGAAAGTCCCTATGACTTGGTTGACTACGAGCAACATAGTCTTAACTGTTTCACTCCATACTTGAGTGCTAGCCTTAATCCTGCAATTACGGCCTCATACTCAGCCTCGTTATTAGTCATATCCGGGCACCTTATGGACTAGCAAATTACTTCGCCGGTTGGGACTTCGAGTGCGAGTCCCAGTTTGGACCCTGACGCGTTGGACACACCGTCAGTGTACAGGACCCAGAGGTCCTGTGTTTGGGGGAAGCGTGGGTGGCTTCTCTTTCAACCTCGGGCATTACATTTGCACTGAAGTCGATGACGAAGTTGGCGAGAACTTGTGACTTTATCGCTGTTCACGGCTGATATATGATATTGTGCTCGCTTAGCTCGATGGCCTATTTGGCCAACCTTCCCGGTAGCTCGGGTTTATGCAAAATGCTTCTTAGAGGGAAAGTCGTGACCACCGAGATGGAATGGCATTGGAAATCTAAGCTTTCGTGAAGCTCTAACTAAGGCCAGGGCCAGTTTTTCGAGGCGAGGGTACCTCGTCTCGGCGTCGACTAGTGATTTGCTAATGTAATAGATAGGAGACTACGTACCTTTATTTTCTCGAAATAGGACTGTGCTCACAGCTACTTTGGATACATCGAGGTAAACGAGGAGACATTCCCCTGGCTCCGATTTTGAAAGCAATGGTGGCGACGACAAATATGCTTTTAGTTTCTTCAGGGCATGGACACATTCAGAAGTCCTTTGGAGGCCATTATCCTTTTTGAGTACGCCGAAGAATCTGTGATCAAGTGTTCTGGTATCCCTTCGATGTCTTTGATTCGATTAGGGTTGACCTCAATTCCCCGCTGTGATACCAGGAAAACTCAAAATTTTCCCGAGGCCTCGTCGAACGCACACATTTCGGGATTCAGTTTCATTATGTATCATCTGAGTATGTAAAAGGTTTCTCTTAGGTGGTCGATGTGATCTTCTTTCCTTTTGGACTTGACTAACATGTCTTCTATGTAGACTGTCATCGTTTTGCCGAGCTGGTCTTTGAACATCCTCGTCACTAACCTTTGGTAAGTTACCCCTGCATTTTTCAGCCTGAAGGGCATGACCCTATAGCAATACATCCTTTAATGGGTGATGAAAGTGGTTTTCTCCTGATCCTCTTCTTCCATGAGGATTTGATTATAGCCAGAATAGGCGTCGAGGAAGCTCAGTAATTCATTCCCGGCCGTTGCGTTGATGAGTTGGTCGATATAGGGTAACAAAAATGAATCCTTGGGGCATGCTTTGTTCAAATATGTGAAATCTATGCACATCTGCCGCTTCCCATTCTTCTTTTTCACCATGACCACGTTGGCGACCCATTGAGGGTATTTCGACTCCCTAACAGAGCCATTTTCTAATAGTTTTCCACCTCTTCGTGTACCGCATCATTAATCGCGGGGTTGTAACTTACGCCTAACCTGCCTCACTGGGGGGTGGAATGGGTCGACGTTTAGCTTGTGCGTGGTGATTTCCTTTGGGATACTCGGCATATCTGCATGGTTGAAAGCAAACAAGTCCGCATTAGTAATTAAGAATTAACGGAATTTACCTGGTTCCTGAAGTTTGCAACCGATGTAAGCTTTCTTGCTATGGTCATTGCTGTCTAATTGAATGTGGTCGAGGTCTTCTACGGTCGATCCCGCGACTTCGACTATATCAGGGTCTCTGATGACGTCCTCGCTGTCGTCATATATCGACCTCAACCCTATTGATTACTATGCCTCTTTTTCTCTGTCCTTCATTTGTTGAGTGACCGTACAGTCTAGGGCGATGCGGTAGCATTCCCGGGATGTGCGTTGTTCCCCTCATATGCTGAATATTCCCCATGGAATTAGGAATTTGATGACCTGGTATAAGCTGGAAGGGATGACCCTCATGGTGTGTATCTATGGTCTCCCTATTATGGCGTTGTACATTGTATCTTGGTCCATGATGTGGAACGTGGTTTCCAGAATGACGCCACCGGCCAGAACGGGGAGTTTGATTTCGCTAGATGTTCGCTCGACTGTATTATTAAAACCAGTTAGCGTGATGCAACGCGACACTATCTTATCATCGAGTTTCATTTTTGCAAGTACTCGAGGATGGATAATGCACACGCCACTCCCATCGTCTTCCATAATGCATCGCACATTGGTGTCTAAAATTTGTAAATTAATAACAAGGGCATCATAGTGACAGAAAGCCAAACCGTCGGTATCCGACTTATCGAAGATGATACTTTCTTCGAGTTCGTCATACCGTTTGCGGGTGATTGACCGTTTGAGCTTGTAGGTAGTAATGAACTTTGTGCTGTTGATTGAAGCATCGTCACCACCACCGATGATCATGTGAATGGTGCGGGTTGGTGAGGGCAGTTTTGGCGGTCCTTGATGTTGTTCACGGCCTCTGGCAAAGTTGGTCCTCCCCCGGTCGCTCAACAACTCTTTTAGGTATCGTTGTCGTAACATGTTTATGACCTCCTGCCTTAGGGCTATGCAATCTTCGGTCTTGTGCCCTCGTTCTTAGTGGAACTCACAGAGGGCGTCTGATTTTTTGGTACTCGGGTCTGACCTCATCTTTTGGGGCCACTTGACCTTTGGTCCGAACATCTCTAGGGCATAGACTATTTATGTTCTTTCATTCTGGTGAGTCGCCGTCCTTGATCTAGGCGGGCCTTTTCCGTGGCGGTGGGAGGGCACAACGGCCGCTCTGATATATGGTTGATGTCGTTCCTTGTTGGGTCGTAGAGCTGCAAGGTCTCTTCTGGTATTTCTTCGATCTTTTCTGGATTCGGCCTGCACCGAGGTCAGTCGATGGGTTGGTCCATTGAGGTCGTCCTCATCTGCTCGAACCTTGGCACAATACGCGTTGTGTATTTCATCCCAAGTGATTGGACGATACTTCATCAATAGACTTAATAGCTTTCTAGTCGCCCTCGAACTGTCTCTGCTCAAACTGTTTTGGAAGGCTGCAACTGCCATCCCTTTTGACACGTTCGGCAGGTTCATCCTTACTCAATTGAATGGGGCGAGGAAGTCCCTCAGTACCTCTCCCGAAGACTGTTTAATAGCAAATATGTTGTTCACTCTTGCCTCGGCCTTCTTGGCTCCAGCCTGGGTCGTTATGAACTTGTCGACCATCTTTTCAAAAGTTTCAATGGAGCGCGCAGGTAGTTGTGAATATCATGTTAACGCTCCTCCTGTCAGGGTTTCACCGAATGTTTTCAACAAAATGGAGGATACTTGTTCTTTGGAGAGATCATTGCCTTTCACGGTGGTGACGTAGTGAGTGACATAATCTTCGGGGTCAGTCGTGCCAGCATATATCCTTAGGTAGGGCGGCATTTTAAAGATTTTCGGTATGGCATGTGGGGCTGCATCATCACTGTACGACTGTTCGACGAACCGGCCGGCGTCTCTCTTTGGCAACTGTTTGGGGGCGCCCGATATTTTATCGACCATTTCCTGGTGTTCTTTCATTTGATCTCGGAGTACCTTGTTCTTGTTCTCCATTTCCTCCACCCTTTTCAAAATGGCTGCAAGGGCGTTGTCACCTGCATTATCATTGACGTTGTGAGTGATACCTGTTGTTGGAGATGGAGGGAGTTGGTTGTACTATTCGTCCGCCGGTTGTATAGTGCAAATCCTTGCATTTTCTATGGCTGCTTCCTGGGCGGGCTTGTTGAGGACACTGGTTAGCGTATCGATTAACCATGCTTCGAGGAGCTTTTTTTACAGTTGGGGGCATCTCTTCCCCTACAGATGTGGAGGCTCCCTTACTAAGAGATTTTGTGATGCTGCAGTGAGGGAGCGGTGACCCATCTCGCCTAGGGGAGGCATTGGGTGTTGCGCCTTCATCTGCTGTTTCGCAACTTTTGTTGATGACGCTCATGAGGTTGGTTGGGAGGTCACTGATTATTCTCGCCCTTTCTATCTTGTTACCTGTCATGTTGGGATTTGTGCACACAAAGAAAGGAGATCTCACTCTTGTTTTCTTTTTTTGTTTGTGATCCGTGTTAGTGATAGATTGAGAAGAAACTAAAAATTTAACTAGGAAATCCTCACAGACAGCGCCAAATTGTTTGACCAAAAAGTGTAGTTCTTGGTTTAAATAATTAAATTTAAGTATTAAGGGGTTAAACCTAGTTATCAATAATATTTCTAGATGTGAGTTATGAAATCGTGATTAATGTTGGGCAGATCTGGTAGTAATATAATAATGGTGTATAACAATCATTCCAAGTAATGTGAGTAATAATAGAGCATTAAATAGTAATGAACAATAATAAATGACATTTGAGTGAATAAAGAAATGATTCGCTCAATAAAGGAGATGCTAGATGTTATTCTTCCTGACAATGATGAATGACAGATAAAACTTTGAATGTTCGAATTATCCTCGGATCTGGTGGAAAGTATGAAATAATATGGACAAGAATCTTGGTAAAAAAAGTGTTGTTTGTATCTTAGTAAAAGAGAGAGAATCTTCTTGTCAAAGTGTGTTATTACAAATGAATATCACATGCTCTACCCCATTGTCCTTCTTTCTATTTATATGAGACAAATTCTTAACAAATCCTAATAGTACATGTACAGAGAATATCCAATAGGATAGTCTTTTCAATATTCTATTCCCGCAACTAGCCGCTACAACTTTGCCAGCGGTGCTCGACCTCGACTCTTGTTGACATCTCGACCACGAATCTCGCTACTCCTTGGCCGACCTCGACTGATGACGGCTTGAAGACTCTTCCTTTAGCGTTATCTTGTCTTAAATACTTTAGGACAGATTTTGACCTATACAAATACTGTTTGTTATATTTAGCATTCGAAGGATCGAGAGACAGTATAGATATCGTATGTGAAAATGTTATGCACGGTAAGTTGGTTGATATCATTGTTTATAGGTTTGGGTTAAATTGTGATAAAGAGTATCTTTCCATTACTTACATGCTCAGCTTTGCTGAAAAGCAAAAGGCAGCTCCTTCTAAGATAAGGGGTGATAATGCTTTGCTTCTTTTTTTATGATCGAAACAAGCTCATTCTAAGAATATCTATGGTTGAAAGGGTAGCAAAGGAACTAAATCCAGCCCAACTGGAACAAAATATGCCAATAATGAAGAGGATGTGATTATGAATATTGCAGAAAATGAGGGACCTGTAAAACATCCTATATCAACACGAGGTAGCCGCGTTAATTAATGAAGACGGTGCATATTTTATAAGGGTTTAACTTTCAAAAACAAGCACGAATTAATTTCATTGTTGAAACTTGTCGATGTGAAGAAATATTAGAGATTCAAAGCAGTGAAGAGTGCTAATGATGTTTTACAATGTTAGATGTATAAACGTAGATTCGAATTACGATTGATGGCTGCGAGCTACGAACTTAAAAGTTGAAACAGGTTTGAAATTGCCAAGTATTATATTGTAAGATGTACTCATATGGGGTGCAACATCTTACAAGCAATCATCCACGTGCCTCAGCAGATGTCATTGGAGAATATACGAGACCTAGACTTTTGAAGTGCAAAGGTCAATCCCCAATAGAAATAAAATATATAATTCAAGTATATTTCGGTTGTGAGATTAGTTACTAGAAATGTTGGAAGGGCAGTGAGATTGCAAAGGTTATGACAAAAGAGACATCGGTGCACGAGTACGCAGTTCTAGATGGTTATCGTTACATGCTTAGGACTGTAAATGAAGGAAGCAAGACATCAATAAAGATTCATGACATTGGGAGGTTCAAGTATTTTTTGTATCTTATGAATCTTAGATTAGGGGATTTAATTTGTGCATATGAAAAAAGTCCAAGCCATTGACAAAACATTCTCAAGGGGCACTTACGGGAGAGCTTTATTGTCTTTTGTGGCACAACATATGAAGAATCATATATTTCTGTGCCTTTTGTATAATAGACTCGGAGTATTATTTCTGGTATCAATACTTTATTGAGCCATTATATAGACAGTCCCTAACATTACAAAGTTGTGTGTCATTTCTGAGACATCAAGCATAGCAAAAGCAATTTCAAGATTTTTTTCCTAAAGCACGCCATGGATATTGTACGAGGCATCTTGGTAAAAATGCCTGCACGAGATTTCACTGTAGAGACTTCATTGGCCATTTTTATTACGCAGTAAAGTCATAACAGAGAGACCAACCACTGAAATTATTTGGAAAACTCTTGTAGATGTAAGCCAATAACAATTGAAGTTGTCAGCACATCACTCGTCAGGCAAACCAGGTTTTCATACATTAACCATTAATTCACATCATTTAATAAACTAGTTTCTATATCACGTGCCTCTCGCACGTGGAATCCCTAAAACTGTTGTAAAAGGGAATTAGACGAGAAAAAAGCAATAATATAAGATATATTTCCTATAAAATGGAGTACTATATTGTGCTAGTAAGATTGTACTAACAAATTCTTAGATGTATATATCAATTATGTTTACATAAAATGGCAGAATATTTTCTCAATTGAATTATAGTGAAGTAAATTGTAGCTTAAGTCATGGCCTACATCAGTAGAGAAAAAATCTTGTTAATCATTAGGCGAGAACATTGAAAAAGAAAAGAAATTTATTAGGCGGAGAATGAATTAGGGGGCTTTTTCTCCCCCTAATCTTATGAAAGAAAAAATCTTGTGAATTACCAAAATCGAAAATACAATTTATTAGGATTTCCTCAAGACCAGAAAAGAAAGTCAAAAATAACCAACACCTACACCATTCTACTATCCAATATAATTCCTATCTGTATAGTTCTTCAATCCATTTCCTATTTTTACATCTCTATTTTCTATCCAAAGCATCACAAATTCTATACTTGAACCCCGTCTTATTTGACCACATGTTGCGGCCAAACGCACACGCAAGTATATGCGGTCGTCAAGTAATAAAGTGACTAAAAGTGGGATGTCGAACCCACGAGGACTTGTGATTAACTATTAACTAAATTAGACTATCCTAATTATCTAAACAAGAATTAAACCTAAAATATTTTATTCTAAACTAATTAAATAAAAATATATAAATAATGAACTTTGAACAGAGAAAGAGCAGATTTTTATGATATTAATATAATGAAAATGATCTAGGGTTATGGGCTATCTAACAATCATATTGTATTCTTCAATTGAATTGACTCACTAATTTATCTAGCTTATTAGTTGACAAGGTTAATATTGCTCATAAGAATCTGTCGAGTTCTTACTCGCCTATTCAAGCTAACCTAACGCCTATATGTCTATGGAGTTAGAATCAACAAGAACGCATTTATAATTCATGTAAATCAACCAAGCAAGGCAATTAGGTATATGTCTATCCTAACCACGAATCCGTTTCCCGATATCCGAGTTCAAGAACTTGCTCTACTCAATCCTATATGCAATCTAGAATTCTCACTTTCGAGTTAAATTCTAGATTCGTAGATAGTATTCAATTGGTGATCAAGCAATT